ACTTCACTTGAAGCCCGAGGCTTTCGCACCCGGACCCACCCGAGGCTTTCGCACCCGGGATTTAGTCGAGGCTTCCGCTCCCGACCCAAGCCGTGGCCGGGGCTTACACACCCGACACCGCCCACCCGAGGCTTGCGCACCCGGCCCAACCCTTTTACTTTGACTCCCACAAAACCCCCAAAGCAACCAACCCGAAACTGAAACCCACAAGCCCTATGCCCTCGCACGCCCGTCCTAACGGACGAGTTCACTAGCCCGTCCTGACACACGCGCCTGAAATTCTGAAATGACGACTATGCCTCAGTTCTGGGAGCCACGCACAATTTTGCCGCTGACGAGAGGACTTTTGGACTTTGAGGTTTGCCAGGGTTCGGGGTCTAAGGTTTGCGCTTCGTGCGTGCGCATGCTTCTGGGGTCGGCGGCATTGGCGGCAGCCATTAAGTCGGGCAGCGCTTCGCTGCCCTGTATGGACTGAGCTATGGCTCAGACGAATGAGCTTCGTCTGCGAAGCAGAAGCCACGACCGACAGTGCCGCCGACCCGCCCCGGACCCCGCATCATCGGACCCTCGTTTCTCCCTCGGGCCGCGCGGGGCCTGGCCCGAAGGCGTCTCGGAACGCGCACGCGTTTTGCAGCCATTCCCCGCGGTGTGGCGGGTTTCGGGGCCGCCGTGGACGACCCCAGGAGGCGAGCCGGCGAGCATCATGAGCCCTCGGGCGCCCGCAACCGGCGCCGGCGGCGCGACGTGGGCGCGAAGTCATAACTCCCAAGTTTTTGAGTGGGTTGCGGAAGCCGCCAAAGGGCGCGCATCATGAGCATCAGCGGGGTCCGGCGGACGGGGGGTGCGGGCTACATGCAGGGCCGACGGGGGCTGAGAGCCTACGATCACCCACAAGTTGCGCACTTCGGGCCTACGTTGCACTTATCTATATACCGCGGGTTTCTGACAACAGCTCGCGCTGCCCGCACCTGGGCGCAGCCCCTAAATTCTGGCCCAAGCCGAAGGAGGGAGTTTCTGCGAAGCAAAAGCCACAACCGCCTGTGCCGCCGACCCGCCGCCGACCCTGCTTCATCGGACCTTCGTTTCTCCATCGGGCCGCGCGGGCCCTCGCCCGGAGGCTTCTCGGAACACGCGCGCGCGCGCGCGCGTTTTGCAGCCATTCCCCACGGTATGGCGGGCCGTGGACGACGTAACCGGCCTTGTGGCCGGAGGCTATGTTTTTTTTATCTGTTTTGTTAGTTTTTGAATTGGTTTGGGAAGCCCCAAAGGGGCGCGCATCATGAGCATCAGTGGGGTTCGGCGGAGGGCGAGTGCGGGCTGCCGACGAGGGCTGAGAGGGCCAGGGGAGGGGAAAACACAAGGGCGGGTGCGTGGCCTAGCTTCAGGCTTCTACCTGCGCTGCCCGCACCCGGGCGCAGCCCCTAGAATATAATCCTCAGGTACATTCTCGTTTCGTGCTAGCACCCCTTCCATCTGTGGCTGGCATGGATCTCGATGCACCGTGAAGTTCGTTTGGAGCACGCATGGACTCACCCAAACTCTGTCCAAACGGACTCAAACTCCTTGGGCGTGGCCTTGCTGGGGAACGGTTGGTTGTTTGCCAGCCGTAGCAATCTGACTCACATTTCTTGGGGGTGTCTTCCACCATCTCGGGAGAGCGTCGAGCTTCTCAAGGCGACACCCACCAAATTTGGTCGTGGGCCTACCCTGGGACGCCCATGGTCGAATACAGCCCAATCTGGGCGCTGCAGCGGTAGTCTCCAAATGTCTCCAAAGGCATCCAGGCTAGAGCACCAACCGCAGAGTCGGGATGCGATCACAGAGAAGCACACTACTCTCGTTAGCAAAGCGGCTGCTGCCGCGCAGTTAACTTTGATGCATCAGCTTATGTCCCGCAGTTGACCCGGTCATACACATGGTGTAATCTTGTCGTCCTTTTGGTAGCAGGAGTAGCAGCATTATGTTTTCGGAGGGCGAGTGGCAGCAGAGGATGGGATCTGGGCGGGAGCTGCCGCTGCTGCTTTCGCCCCGGCCTCGTCTGAGACATGATGCTAAGCAGCTCGTCATCGGACAGGAAATAGAATCTCCTGAGCGCATCAAACAGTCACAGTCGAAACTCGCCTCAGATCCGAACAGCGAGTGCCCTGATGCTCAGCCCGGCGGCGGGAAAGAGGCCCGCTTCGTCTCCAAGTATGCCTACCGGTCGTTGCTCGACCCCCTAGACGCCCATCTTCGACCCTTCCTTGAAGGCTTTGAACTCAAGCGCGGCCTCCAGACTCTTCTGGATCTGATCCAGCTGGTCGCTGGCATTTCTCAATCCTTTGGAGAGGTGTCGAAACCGGTGGTATGAAGCTTCACTGACGAGCCCTCCGGTCTACCCTATATCATGCAGAACCTCTTCAGAGTGCGATTTTTGGGTCGAAGGTGCGTCGAGTGAGTCTGAGAACTCGCTGAAGCGATCGGGGGGGCAGCGCAAACCGCCGAACCCGATGAAACCATTTGCTGAAGTTTCGGCATGTTTAACTGTAACACCTTTAACAGCTCCACCACCGCCCCCAGACAGCCGCCTCAGCAAGAGACCTAGGGCCGACTTGAGCCGGCTAAGAGCTGCTCGAGCAGCCCGACGTGAAGTCAGGTCTCATATCGCATCCTACCTTACTTCCACTTGAGTTGCTTGCTGTGGTTTACTGTTCTCTACATACTGGGCTGTGAGAAGCTTGCAGGATTACTCAGCATTGCACCGTAACTTTCTGTCTGCTGACGTACACCAGCCCATCTGCTGTAATTCACATCAAAAGTGCAGCAGTACATGCGCTACACCAGGCTAATATACTATGCTATACGATGCGAACTGTGTACGTGAGTACGGAACACATCGCAAGTACGCATGCAACCATGTATGCATGCATGTGCATGTGTATGTGCATAGGCGTCCCCACCGACATGCCTGCCTACCGGATAGCCAGGTCGGTCAGCAGCTTGGAAATGATAGGCAAAGGTGCATGCATCATGCGCGCAGAGAAAAGGAACACATCCCATGAAAATTTGCGCGTGCCTTGGAAGGCGTCGTCAGAGACATGGGTATATTCGTGTGTATATATACGCACACATACTTACACATAGACAATGTATTCTCATCGTATGAGAAACCAGCCCCTGCCCCCCCAGATCCGCATCGCGCGTTCGCCTGATGGGCGTGCAGGATTCGCCAAGCACTGTAACGTCCAAAAACATCCGAACTGAGAATCCTGAAACTTAAGCCACACATTCAATTTTTCTGGAATCTATTGCTTGGCGTCCGAAGGAGACCGGGGGGAGGCGGGGTGCCAACTCGGAAATTTTGAATGTTTGGTAATGCTTTCGGCCGTGAGTCTGGGGAGTTGGAAACACTGGAAACTTTGAGCATTGCAGTGGTTCGTGAGGTTCAGGACACGAAACAGCGTGGTTTCCAACCACCTTGCTACATTCTTCTTCAGACGAGTTCTCTTCTTTCTTCTACTTGCGATGTAACAGGTAAGAAACCGGACATGAGAGCATGCGACAGAAACTGCTGTTACCAGTCAGAACTAGAGCTGGGTGCTCGTAGTCAGTCCTCATGATCGGGGCCATGACATGACGCAACCCTTACTAACCCCCCGGCACAAGTTGTACCAGGTTGTATGTTGTCCGCACGACCCTTCGAAATAGGTGTGAGTATATCAACACTAGTACCATCTTGCAAGTAGAAAATAAACAGGTATCAATCCGGCGCCAATATTCGGTCCGAGACATGAAGACATATCGACTCCGAGATGTACAGAAGCACAGTCTGTAGTACACAAGAAAGGCAAGATTGTATCGGTCTCCGGCCCATGTGAATCGCGTGCACATTTTTGGAAGCAACCTGTAAAGTCGTCTGCAAAAGCAGCGCCGGGCCACAACTGCATGTACATACACGCATGCATGCATGCACGCATTCATACATGTATCCGTACACAAACACCTATGCATCTACGTACAGACATGTACATCTTTGTATAGAACAACATATATATATATATATATATGTGCATACATGTATATGTACATTATAGGTGTGTGTGTATATATACATATATATATATATATATTTTTTTATGTGTGTGTGTGTATGTATGTATGCACTCATGCAATGCAATGCAATGCAATGCAATGTATGTATGTACGTATGTATGTATGTCTATATGTATGTATGTATATATATATATATCATAACACTGAATAAGTACATATATACATGTTAATAGATATGTATATATATATGTGTGTGTATATATGTATACATATGTCATACATTCCCATTCGTTTGTCGATCCGTTTGTCTATAACCACCTATCCAAGTTTGAGCTTGTATTAACATACACAGCTTGTATGCATACCTGCACATAGATACATGCCTATAGTGTACACCTGAATGACATTGACTGGACAAGGATCTGGCACAGCATGACGTAGTGTCAGTACATCTGCATATAATGCGAGATATTACAACATGCCTGCACGCATCTTGTTGGACAGTTCGTACTTCATCGGAGAAGCTGCATGAGCAGCCTGACGTCTTTGTGCACGGAGAGAGGCCCACGCCCCTCAGATCAGTCCTGCCTCCTTCGCAGTTTTTTATCCAAATCAACCCGTTTCTAGCGAGTTTCTTCTACATCGCATCTGATGAGCCGTGAAGACACTGCATTAACAGTTTCGCAATGTGCTTCCGGGGATATCGCTGAAGATCCCACGTTCCTTCCAACCTACATGCCGCATGCCGGTATCTAGATCCGATTCGCCCAGGGGTGCAGGCGTTTCAGAGGCCGAGCCGAGCGGAGGCGACTCCGAAGGAGCAGCCGCTTTTCAGGGATCTGGGATCTAAGGGATCAACACTCATCAAACTGAAGCCAGGAATTGGTGTCTTTTGGGTCGGAGAGATGGCGTAAGGAATTGGTAGCTTTGGGACGGCAAAAGCCAGGTTTCAAACGGCCCGCTCAGACTCAGAAGAGCATGTTGCCCTGCTCTTTCTCCTGGCCACGCACAAAGCTAAGCATGCCAAGCGAAGCCGCGAGACTCGAGACTTTGCTCACCATCACGGATCAGCGCGACGTTTATTGAGTTTGCCCTTGCTTGGACTGTTGTGCTTGTGCCCCTCGCTATCGTCGAAGTGTCCACGTCGGGTCGAAGTGCAGCAACTCAGATCCCTGTGAGCTGCGCAGCTGCGCAGCTGCGCAGCTGCCGGGACAACACCTCCCCTCCCGGCGGAAGGAATCCTTGTAGATCATCTCGAAGTACTGGTAGATGATGGTTACCTCCCGTCGCGGGACATGAAAATGTATGGTATTGCGTAAGTGGGGAACCCCACAAAACACCCTGTGCTGAGCGCCCAACCGCGAGCAAGATGCCCGTGCCACTGCCGATCGCTCCAAGGAAGTCTGCCATGATGGTCAGCATCCCTGGGAAAAACGGCTGAGTCAGACGGTCGAGTGAAGGCACTAGACTAAACAATCCAACAGTACTCCAAAGACTCCAGACCGTCATGACGTACGAAGGACATTTCAGCGGCTCAAGACGGCATGACACAGGAGGTCTCGTTCGGTTCAGCAGGTGCAGATCTGCACTCGACAGCATAGGATTGATGTAGCCCTGGCACCCTGTGTGGCTGGAGTGCGCTCGTGTGTGTGTTGCTGGGGCTGGCACCGATGCACATGCCGCCAAAGGCGGCCGCAGTAGGGATGTACATGTCCAGAACCTTCAACCTAAGGGTTCAGAGCTCCAAGCTGAGGGCCCCGGCGAAGTCCCTAAACCCCTGGAGTGCGGGTCATATGAGGACACTCAAGGAACACTTCGAGCAGATGCTTCCACGGAGAAAAGCTGATCGCTTGAAGATTCTACTCCTGCAAAGTTTACAGGACATCGCCTCTGCGTGGACATTGTACCACGTGGTCAACAAACTCTTCGAAACTCCGGAGAACACTGCCGACCCTGATCCAAGCCCGGGACAGGGATTCTTCTCTGTGGCCTGGCAGAAGCGTGGCGGTTGTTGTTCCACGCGTTGGAGTGCTACTTCTCGGATACTGTCGGGTGCTGCCACTGTTCTTTCGAGACCCAACACGATGAGTCCCTGAGGGCCTTTGAAGACCATGGACTGATCCCGCAGGTGCTTCGCCACGTCCCTGGGCGAGGACCCAGACACCTTCGCGAGACAAGCCCTATGAGTAATCAGCCTTCTGTCCGAGGAAAAGCGGAAAAAGGAGCAGTGCAGAGCAGCCGCCAAAACTCAGAAGTTCGACAGAGAGAAGCGCATAGCGGAACCACCGTCCGAAACTGCCGATGCGCCTCGATCCAGAATTTGGAGAAGAGCGCGCAGGAGATGAGGACGAAGGACACGTAGATCAGTGCCTTGCCGCACTTTGCAGTGGCTTCAGGCGCTGAAGAGCGTGGGCACTGCCGCTCACAAGACCTGAACCGAAGAACCGAAGACCTGGGCCTCTTCCCAAAGGCATGGACTCACGGACTCATGCTGTTCTTGCAGACTGGAAGACCCCGAGCCCAGTCTGCCACGGGGCATGAAGCGGATCCTCCCAGATGTTGGAGACCTCGGCAGCGCCACGACGGACAAACGCACTCCGAGAAGACGCCAGCTCCACGCCGGGGCCCCAGCACTGGAGGGTGGCGAAATGTAGTAGGCGAAACCTCCCACCGGCACGGATTGACCACCAAAGTCTGCCTCCTGCAACTTCAATCAAATGGTTTCACGGCAGAGAGCAACACAAAAAGTCAGGGACACAGTGCAGATGTGGCGATGCTGCCTGCCATTGGCCGAGCAAGTTCACCAGCATGTTCGACTTGAAGCGCCTGCCGCGGAGCCGAAGAGAGCGTACCACGACGGATTCTGTGGCCGGCCTGTAAAGCAGCTGAGACAGGAAGTAGAGATTCGAGACCAGCGCTGTCTGCCTCAGCCGCAGTCCGACACGCCGATCCGACTGCGAAAGGACGTGCTCTGGCTGCCCCGGAGCAGGATGATGGGAATGTTGGAGGTGTAGAAGAGCTTGATGGGGAAGGAGCCCTGGCAGACCCATCTCTCTTTCTTTCGCCAGGGTTATGGTGCAGGGGTTTTACCCCCAACCCATCTCTCTCTCTCTCTCTCTTTCTTTCTGCTGGGCTTAGGGGTCCCGCAAGACCCTCAGGCCTTAGGCCCGCCCAACCCTCACACTGTTTTAGTGAGTGGTTGGCATTGGGGTCTTTCCAGATTAAGGCAGGGAACCACAAAATATGCTCCAGGTTTTCATGCAGCGATCCCCACCTAGAACTCTAAAACCCCCCGCATCCCGGCCACATCTCCGGGCCCCTATGGCTAACCAATGTCCGCGTACCTAAGTCCTTCTAAGCAGGTTTCGCTGCACTGTGTTTGGAGCTGCCGCAGTAAATAAAAGGAAAAGGCCGGTCGAAATTCTCCCCCTTGTCAGGTGTTCAAGAAAACAACACCCCCACAAAAAAGACGCACTAATCCCGAAAGCCACATTACTCGACAAAGGGAGCTTGCTGAATTAAAATCCCCCCTGCAGCGGAGCAGGCGGGCCGAATTAGCGGCAGTAGGGCGGAAACGTCATCGTCTTTCGACGGAGTGCAGTGAATTGTGTCAGGCGGATAGAAAGCCGTCGTGTAGCGACGGGTGGTGTAAGAAATCGCCAAGTCATGGCAGAGTACTGCAAAAGTTGACGAGTATGTTACATAGGGCATGCTATCGTGCAATCCCCCGGCTGGGTTTCAAAAGGTGGCGGCTTAATCGCAGCAGGGCACTTTAGGGAAGAGGAGGGCCGGGGACAAAACACAACCGCGAAACAAGCAGCCAAAACAAACCGAAACACAACACCCCACAACATCAGTGTCCCTCCTTTCCCCTTTGTTGGCTGCTACTGGGCATAGTCACGCAGGTTCCCCTCTTTTGGAGAACGCAGGCTGCGTCACTCGTTCAAAAAGGAAATGAAAAGTCCCCTTCGCTCATTGCTTGTAGTTCACGGTGCGCCTCTCATATGTGCCTGGACCCGCCGTATCGCGTCCCACATCGGACCTGTTTGGAGTCTCACTGTCCTCTGCGGGCTGCGGCTCGGAGTCCTTGGTCGTTCCCCTCTGGCCGAGGAGCTAGCTTCCCCCCTCTGCGGGCTGCGGCTTGGTACTCTTGGTCGTCCCCTTCAGCCGAGGAGCTGGCTTCCCCTCCTGTTGTGCCTGGTGTGGGTCGCGGCGTTCTCATCCATGGTGGTGGTCCAGCAGGTTCATTTGGTCTGTGCCACCCCGGGACCTGAGGTAACTCATGGGAGCTTTCCGCCCCCTCGTCGGTGCTGCTGTCCTCGTCTTCTGTGTCCCCCCAGTCCACTTCCTCGCTGAACTCTGGTGGTGGTGGTACTTGTTCTCGCGGCTGTGGTGGTTGAGCTCGGTCTTGCATTGTCTCTGTGGCCTTTGCCGTGGTGCTCGGGGCATGGCTTGACGCCCCCTCCTTTGTCGCATCCCCCGGCTTGCTGCTTGGGCTCACGTTCTTCTTCCCCACCTTTTTCGCAGGCTTTGGGTCGTCTGGCCTCGGCTTCTTCCTGGTCGGTCTTGCTGTTGTTCTCCCCCGTGGCGAAGCTTTTTTTTGCCGTGCCCTAACCGCACGACGTATGCGGCGGGCTTGGCGCAGCAGGCCTTTGATCGCCCCCGGAAAGCGGATCATGTAGGCACGCGTTTCCTGGGCCACCTCCGGTAAGTACTTGTCCGCTATCTTCGCCAGTCTGTCTGCTTGCTGGGCCGTGTGGCACCTGGCTTGGTGCCGTTTGTAGAACTGGTCGTACTCGTCGTTCTCCCCACGTGTAAGGGGTCGCCCGGAAGGGCTGTGGCACCATCCCCCACCATCCGGGCATCGAACCACTTCTTGCTTGTTCCATTTGTCCAGCGGTCCTGGGAGGTAGTGTAAGGCTATCCCCCCAGGAGTCACGTAGGCCGTCATGTTCTCGAAGGGTACCTGTGTACGTCTGCCGCGTCCCCCTTCGGTCTGTTGTGGCTGGCTGGTTGTGGTGCTGTCGGGCAACTTGAGCTTTATGTTTCCCAAAGCTTCTGACCCGAAGAACCGGCATTGGGAGTCTGATCGCTCGTGCACCTTACGCATGCCTGGACGACAGATCCCTCCCCCCTCCCTGCAGATCCTGCAGACCTTCTTGCTTCCTCCCCCACGCTTTTCCATGTTCTTCACTATCTTGTCGTCCTTGCCACAGTCACGATCTTGAAGTTGAAGGAGTCCCCCTCCCAGCGTAGAGGAAGTACTCGCGAAGCAGGGCGTTGGCGTCCTCACTGTCGATGGTGCAGTTGGCTTTCCCCTCCGACACTGAAGCGTCCAGGAAGAGGCTCTTGCAGTCACCAGCTTAGTGTACTGCGGGAAGTGTCACGATCGTGCCGGTGTCCTTTATGGCTCGCGCCCCCTAGCGGCACTCGCTTAAGCAACACAGCGTCGGATATGTGACTCAAGCACCGCGTGGGAAAAGTGCGCAGGCTCCCCCAAGGTGGACAGCCTTGGGTTAACCCCGCACCTCCCCCCCGATGCAAGGAGGCGGCACAGGCCTCCAAGCAAAGGTGCAGCACTTGAGCCAAAATGGCTACTCTCTCTCTCTCTCTCTCTCTCTCTCTCTCTCTGCGACTCATGGCCCTGGAAACCAAGTGGCATTGCCTTCACTGGCGAACTTCCGCTGGTCAGCAAACAAAATTTCTCACGCAATGAACGCTTGAGTCACCAAAACACACCTACCTCGGCTGACTTGATGTTGATGTTTGGGGAAGAGACGGCACGAGCGGCAGAAGGTCACGGCGAGTATGCGCTTCGGCCAAAACATGTTCTCGTCTCCGCCCTCTCCCTCTCGGCTCCAGCCTGCGATCCTCGCATCTTCTGATACTTCACTGGCAGGTCGACTTTGAAACCTGCGAAAGTGCTGGGTGCATCTGTGAAGCGGCGGTGCGGTACGAGTCTCGGCCTTGGAAGTAGATCACAATGAAGAAGACGAGGACCTCAAGGGCCGAGCGCCCAAGCTTCAGCCACTCATGCGGTGCCAATGCAGAGAACGTGTGCAGGATGTGTCGAGGCACGGTGGCGAAGAGGTTCGTGAGATTCGGTGCCTTATCTCGCTTCTTGATGTCTCTTCGCTCTCCAGCAAAGCTGCAGGCTGGTTCTAGTGATTCTAGTGTGCAGAGCAAGCTGCAGATTGTCTGTAGAAGGCCTCCTTCAAGGCCATCAGCTTGTCGCTCCTTGCAGAGCGCGAAGTGACGAAGTGGCTTCTGGCAACTTGAACTTTCAGGGCCTCGATGCCATGAAGTGGAAGGTTGCAACGATGGCACCTTCAAACTCAGTTCCTCGGAGTCTCACGCTGTGCCGCAGCGAGTAGCACTGTGGAGCAGAGCTGGCCGTGCCATCCGTGCCCATCCCTCAAAGATGTGTCACGAGCGCGGCAGGGCCAACTTGCGGCTCCAAGATTCCCTTGCCAGTGTTCATGGTCGTTGGGGAGAATGCCTTCAACAAGTTCTCTGCACCGTCGACTCCGATGGCTAATCGAACTTCAAGTGCTCTTCCGCTCGACTCTGATCCGAACTAATCTGGACTGCCCCAACCCTCGCTCAGGCCTTCCAGATGATGCCTTGATCCGGGGGCATGCGGGCATGCGTTGCTGCTCTTTTCTCGACATCTGGTGACTTCCGACGGCTACGAGTAAAGCTTGAGTTTCTCCAGCCTGAAGACCTGTGACCTCAGCAACGTGCTTCCTAATGCCTGGCCGTGCGGCTCTCGCAGATGTTCGTCGCGATGAAAAGCGAGATTCCGGAGCCCATGCCATAGCCCTTCTGCATCAGCTCCTGAGTTCAGAAGTTCCATGCAAATCGTGCTTTATGACCTTGCCCTCCCATCAATCGCAAAACAATGAGAGTCTTTTCGCGCTTGGTGCAAGGGGCTGGCTGCTGCAGACGCCAACGGAAACACGGGATCCATCACAGGCCCTCCACCCCAAGTGTTGGCTGCTGGGGGCCCCTGCGTCCAACAGGATAACCACAATCCCGGCAAAGAAGAGCTGCAGGATGATCAGGATGGCACTGGTAGCTCCTCGGCAAGCCAATGGCAACGCAAGGGCAGAGTCTGCATGGGCCGTGGAGTGCCTTATTTCTGCCTGAGCGGCCAATCTCCCGCAGGCTGCCGTACATGCCACTCATGACGTAGGCCACGGCCTCGAAGCGAAAACGGCACTTTCGTTTCAAAACTGCGACACTACCAAGCACTCCTGCCTCTCCCATGGTGATCAGCATGCCGAACCTGAAGACAAGGAGGGAAGTGGAACCAATTCGACGTTGACAGGATCTGCTCCGCGGGATGCGAGGGTTTAGCCCGCGGAGTGAGCACACACGAATCTGATCTTGAACGGAATTCGCTCCTTCGGCCCTAGAGACTGGCTACCCATGGGCCTTTCGGAGCCTAGACACGCAGCAGTGGCGACGTCTGTGGAATCCCTTTCTGGCACTTAATGCTTCGAAGCACATCGTCGCGCAAGCTCGCGAGCATGCATAGGCAATGCGGCCTAAATTTCGCCAGGCAACAGTTTCTGCGCACCCTGGAAAAGGATCTTATCCTCCTTGAGAGTCAGGTCCACGTCAATAATCCTGCACCCACGGGGTTGCCGAACTCTCGTCTCCTCACGAGCCCCTCAGGCCCTCTCTGCAGAAAGTGCATCGGCATCACAGCCGTCAGACCGCTCGACTCAACATGGGTCCGTCGGGCACACGAGTGGGCGCAGCAGCAAGAGCAAGAGCCCGCGAGAGAAACAGCGACCACAAGAGCAAGAGCAACGCAAACAGAGGCAGCAGCGGCGGCAGCAGCACAAGCCGCAGCAGCAGCAGCATCAGCAGCAGCAACAGCAGCAGCAACAACAGCAGCAACAGCAGCAGCAACAGCAACAACAATAAGAAGACGACGACGACGACTACCACTGCCACCACCTGACAACCACCACCACCACCACCACCACCACCACCACGACTACTACTACTACGACGACTGCCACTACAACTACCACTACCACCAACACTACCACTACCACTACCACTACTAGTAGTAGTAGTAGTAGTACTACTACTACTACCATTACTACTACTACCATTGCCACTACCTCTACCACTACTACTACTACTACTACTACTACTACTACTACCACTACTGCTACTACTGCTACTACTGCTACTACTGCTACTACTGCTACTACTGCTACTACTGCTACTACTGCTACTACGACTGCGCCTGCCACTACCACTACCACTACGACTACTACTAATAGAAATAGTAGACATACTACGACGACCACTACTGCTGCTGCCATCATCATGATCACCATCATCAACAGCATCATCATCATCAACTACCTACAAGCAACAAGCTACATGCTACATGCTACATGCTACACGCTACGTTGCTACGTGTTACGCTGCTACACTGCTACACTGCTACATGCTACATGCTACATGCTACATGCTACATGCTGCATGCTGCATGCTGCTTGCTACTGGTACATGCTCCACCTGCATGCTACCAGCTGCATGCTACCAGCTGCTGCTGTTGCTGCGGGTGGTATGTACAAAGGATTGACTTCAACAGAATCACGACAGCACAGTGATGCCTCAAGCTTTGTCTAGACTCTAGCTTAACCTGCGGCTCCTGCTGCCGGCTAAGAGCTGCATCACCTGGATGCTTCCGGCAATCACAGGATGCTGAAGGCGGACCAGACGGAAGCTGGCCGTGTGCTGAAGCGCTAGATCTTCGATGCAACCAATTACACTTGCACGAGGGAAGCTGCCCACATGAGCCAAACAGCAGACACCAACACGTCATTATGCTCTCCGAGCTGTTTGTGTCGTTCAGAGCTGCAGCCAGGCGGCCATGCCGGAGGTAATGATCGGCGAGATTCCAAGCCTCGGAACGGACAAGCCCAAGCTGTTCGGAAATTGTTCGTCTGTATAGTCCGCTGTGAGTCTCCGCTGTTCAACTGGTGGCGACTTTACATTTTCAGTGCAACGGTACTGGTATGTTAGCCAATGGCGGGCGGGAGCCGGGAGCCTGTGGCGACTTGTCACTTCAACTCCGAAGCATCCCAAAGAACTGCTGCATGTCTAACAGCTTCGCGCTGAGGACTCTGACTCCATGAGAGTGCCTCGATTGGAAGCCTCAGCCACGAGTCCGAGGACAGCTGCAGTTCAAGCCGCATGATTTGACCCAATCAGACAGGTCCAATATCCAAACACCAACAAAACAATACCGTCGAGAGAACCCGACATTCCTCACGGCAATAAGCTAAGGCTGCTCCAAAAGACGCTCCGAAAGGACAAGAAAATGGAAAGGCCTCAATGCACGCCCAGGGACTAGAATGACTCGCATCCAGTAGAAGGGATCGGAGCCTTCACCACGACATCTTTGCGGGTTTGAACGCAGCGTGACTCCGACGCATCTGGATTTGGAAAAAATATCAGGAAGTTCTGGTAAAGCCATGTCACTCTTGGAGGTCAGCACGCCATAGAGCGGGATCCTAAGCATTGGTCACATCGCATTGAAGCTCCCAGCGGAGGCCAATGCAGACTGGGCTCTGGCAGCAAACTAGGAAAACAAACAAGGAGATGGACGTCCACCTCAAGCGCTCTTGGAGAGCAGCGAATTACGCACTGATCCAGCTTACACTATCACGGACCTATTCTGTTCGCTGAATGCAACATCCGCGAATCTGCACTCAATCCTTTCGAGGCCGTGGCAAAATCTTCTCTTTGAAAGGAATCCTACCTCGGACGACGAGGCCGATTGCTGCGCCGCTGCGCACTGTGAGAGGCTGCCAACGTGGAACCCGAAGCAGACAAAACCTGTTTGCTCCTCTTGACTTTAGCAGCTTAGCTCCTCCATCTGTTCTCCTCCCTTCACTCTCAAGACATCTCAAGACCTCCCTCGCTTCACGGCGATCCATCTTCGTTTCACCGCGATCGCGCACAGCCGTGGGCACCTGCAGCACCTGCACGCCTCCCACTCCCAGAGCCGCAGCTTTGTGACCAAACTGTTAACGTGGGCATGCGTTTGCATACGTATTCATAGAAAACCCCAAAAAACCTACCTCTAAGCTTGGTTTAACCTAAGCCTTTGATCATCCGGCCCCTATCTTCACATGCTCAACGGGACCTCAGCATGAGCTCTTGGCATGTCCCACGCAACACCCGAATGTCCCAATCATCTGAATGCTGAAAAATTAATTAAGGTCCCAGAATATCAGGTCCTAATCGCATCGTCTCTGTGTGCTCTCACTGAGCAGTTGCCGAGAAATTGGGAAACACCAGGCTTCAGAATATAATGTGGTGCTATGAAACAGGCGCTTCTGTCGTGTCACTAAATCAGCACGGCGAGTTGTGTCAACCCTGCTGAACAGCGCGTTCTGCGATGACAGGACGGTTCGACAGCACGAGTTTTTCGAAAAAGCGCTTTGGACCACATGGACGTACCAGTGTCGGACACCTTCACCTTTTCGCGACACGTCTGCTGCGCTAAGTTTAACCGAGCACTTGCGTTGAACATTACATGCCGGACAGTATAGGAAGTGGCGAGGGCCAGGGGGACTCCGAAGTTCTCCTGCCGAGCTGCGGTCTGGAGCCTCCACCTCCGGAAGGACGCACATCACCGGCCTCGGTGTGGGGATGGGGATGGGGACGGAGAATCGACGCGGCACACATGCCCCGGAAGCCAGGGTGCTTGATGAGGTTGAGGAATCGGAAGCTACCACCTCAGGTGGAAGATCATTGTCATGCTTCTGCGATCGGAAGCGACTGGTGACCCTACGGAACCCGCGACTGGGGATCCAGACTCTGCATCGACATCTTGCCTCTTCGTGCCTTCTGCAAACATGTCTTGGACAGGGGTGACATCCGCAGATTCTGCGAGACATGGAGCACTCGGAAACCAAGCTTCCGTGCTCTAACTCTACCAGCCACCCAACGACGGCACAGATCGACCGCGAAACGTTGCAGACAGGTACCTTATCGGGCAACCTGCGAAAGCAGATGAAAGTGAGATCAGTGAGCATCTTTTCTTGCCCCGCAGGCCTGCGCGGCTGGCGATCACCCCTTCGGGCAAAGGCGTAAAGCGAACACAATGGTTTGCGGCGGTGCGCCGCTTCTGCCCCAAAACTGGCTGTGAGCCAAACGCGGTAGGGCGGCAAACGAGTATTGCAGCCGGACACTTCTTTGTGCATTTACACCATTGGAATGAATCGAGGCATGCTAAGGCTTCCCCACAATACCAAAGGCCAAAGGAACAACACCGTCTGCTAAGTGGTGCCTGATGTTCCTTTTCTTATGGAGACCGGTACCCACAGCCGGTTGAATCAACCCTGCCAGGGGCTCTGCCTGCGAGAAGATTTGGTATGTGAAACCTTGGCGAAAAACGGCAAAGCGCTGATCTTGCCCTTGGACTCTGCCCTTTACAGGGCCTCCCTGAAAGTGCCAACTCCACGGTTGCCTGAAGTGAAAGCCGTTGCGGCGAGAACCCGATATTGAAAGCTCAAGTCCAGCGAGCTTAGTGCCTGATGCATGCTAGAGTAGCTGCTCAAAGCTGCTCTTTGCCATTGGTCTTGGAGCTGCTGCGCTGACGAAACCGAGTTGGGTTTGTGATCGGCCGATCGGCTGATCACATCCCATCCCATCCGGATCCTGGTTGCCCGTTGCTCCGCTTAGTCAAGGCCGGCACGCTTCCATGGCTTTGCGGTAGGATTGGCGCACCTCACTTCAGCAAAACGAAATAGAGGAAGACTGGAAGCGAGAAGCGATAACACGGCCCAAGACTTCCAGGCCTTCTTCAGCGTGTCCTTCCAAAACCTATCACGACAAGAACAACAGCTAAGAGCAAGCATTCTCAGCTGAAGCCAAGGTGAAGATTCCGGTCAGGCCTCGCATGGGGCGTCCCAGTTTCAACAAATACTGCAAAGCTTTGTTTCACACAGCCAAAACCCTGGAAACCTGGACACCAAATTTGTTTTGTTTCGGTGGCTTGCTCTTACATGGATTGGCCGGGTGCCAGGCTTGTCCACTCCTTTGAACTTCGCCGACTCGGTTGGGAGCTGCTTTTGGATGTCCTCCATAAACCCGGCTGAAGTAGGAAGTTGCCTGCGGGTCTGGGAATTTGCTATTCAGCTACTCGGGGTCGGCAAAGGCATTCAGCACATCCAATGAGAGCTGCATGCCGCATCTGAAACTGGCAGGGAAAATGGGCATTCCCATAGGTAGCGGAGTCTCCCTGACTGCGAGCTTGAACTGGGACGGCGGGAAGATCCGCCAGAGGAAGCGATCGACTCCCGGATGCGTGCACTTCCACGGCTTCACGCCGAGCGCTTTGAGTGTGTGAGCGCCGGCAGCACTCTGCGCAAACTTCAGGGCTGGGTCAGGCCACAGCGAGTGCAGTCTCTCTTGAGGCGCAGCTCTCGGTCTTCAGGGCTTGGCAGCGTGAGCTTCACTCATCTGTCAAGTTGCCAGGTCCTCCGCAGAGAAGATGCTCTCCTGTGCATCAATTCGGGAGCCTCCCTGAAAACAGCAGGTCCCTTCGAGCCGCCAAACCAACGGGATGCATTCAAGCCTTTGTATCTCCGGAAGCCAAAACCAGTAAGTTCAGGCCGAGAGTCCAGATACATCCAGCCGCGCTGCACCTCACCGGAATTCAATGCCTTACGTGCTGCCCTGGACAGTTTGTACTGTAGGCAGTTCGCTTTAACTTGACCCGCGGTCCGCAGTCCGCCTGCAGCCACTCGTCGATGGTGTCAGATGCAAGCCTTTCGGATGCGTCCCAGAACGGAGGCGAAGCGAGAAGCAATCCCGCTCCGGAAACAGACCCTTTTTGACCTGCCAGCCCACGCCGTGTGTCTCCCCAAACTCCGGAAACAGACCCTAGACCTAGACCTGCCTGATCTTCGTCTCCCAAGTCTCCACGCGATCACGGATTCCCCGGACAAAGCGCGAACTGAGGAGTCCAGTTCGCTTGACTCTGCCCCCACCGCGAGGTGACTGCGAGGAGCAGGCCCCATCATGGTCTGGATTTGCACCGAGTGGTCCTCCGGCCGGTCACGGCTGGTTTGAAGCCGAGGTAGCCCCATGGCATGGTGGCCTCCGCCTTCAATCAAGCCCAACTCTACAGGCAGTCCTCCAGCTGAGTGATGATGTCACCAACGTCCCCAAGAATCCACAAGTCCTCAAGCCAGGTCAGAGTCAGACCAGCTTTCAATGATATGCTGTGGCGAGACTCAGCTGGAAAGCGAGCTGCGTCCGAAGCAGCAGCACCTTCCTACGACCTCCCTTTTCTTTGGTGGGCTCCCACATGCTTTCTGAACGATGCCCGGGTCCCGCTGGTTCCGATGGTTCTGGACCGGCAGAGGCATGTCCTCCCAAGCTGCGATGACCTGTGCAGCGGTGAACCAGGTCAAAAAGCCGGAAGCCAACACGAGATTTGCTCGAGAGAGAGAAACGCGGCGACCAGTGCACGGTGACGATGGCACATGGTGCACACGGTACGTAATGGCACAGCACATGGTGGCACACTACGACCTACTGCGACCTTCTTCGCCTTTGCCTTGAAACCTCTGGCCTTCTCGAGCTGCTGCTCCAGGGCAAATTCTCCGCTGGCGATGCCGCTAATTTCAGCAATGAACTCCTTCGGTCAAATGCAGAAATCTTCTGGGAAGGCTTGCACTCAGAGCTCGAAGGGAACTGGAGTCCTTGTGGTCCTTCTTGTCGAAGACCTTGGCCCCAATCAAAGTCGTGAGAGACACGGCGGTCTGCTTGAGGTCGATCTCCTGCAGCCACTTGTGGAAGGGGCTTCCACATCTGGAGAATCATTTTGCCTCTGCCGACGCAGCCAGTACGGTCTCTTGTCTCGCCGTGGGTCACAGCATAGCATGGTGCTCTACTTTGGACGCGATACTTCGTCATTGCGTGTTGCTATGTGTACACATGAGCACAAACTCAGCGAGACAGAGCGAGAGCGAGAGCGAGGGAGAGAGAGAGAGAGAGAGAGACAGAGAGAGAGAGAGAGAAGGAAACACCGATATCCATAATATGAGTATGTATATACACCCGTACACGGAAAACCGCAGCAGTCCTGACGGATTCGCAATCTGTGTCGATCCCTGGCCAAGCAAACATGTCTGATGAGAAAGCTTTGAGACTTTGAGTGCTTGACATGCTCGGCTGCTCGGACTTTGCAGCACCGCTATGCCGCAACACAGGAGCTGTGTGATGAAAGGCGCTTCCGGCGCCACGTCCACTACGTGCGCACTACGTGGGTTAAGAAGAGTGGGTTCTTGAAAGCGGAGGGCTCTGGGCCGTCGACCTCAAGGCCGGATTCCCGAGGTCCAGGATGCAGGGCATGTTGCCCTTCCACTCATCGACCTCGGACCTCGAAGGTCGAAAGAACACGCGGGGCCTTGACCCTTGACGGGGCCGGCGAGCGGGGGAGCCGCGAGCGCGACGGGCTCTCTTCGAGGCACCGGCCGGATCTCCTGGGCCACCTTGTCACCTTCCAGGCTGCGCCTGGCCCAGGCGAAAGGACGAGCTGCGGCAGCCGCAGCGAGAGCCGAGGGAGCTGTTCGGGTCTGGGTCTGAGCCCCGAGCGTCAGCTGATACGCAGTCTTCGAATACTCCAGGACCTGTGCTCCCACATGCGAGGTGCACGCATTCAATGCGGATGCCGAGAACAGGGGCTCACCTTTTTGTTCATCTCCTCCACATTCAGCTGGGTGATGTCGGTCTTCTTCCAAACATCCAACTGCCCCTGTCCGACAGACACAATCCCTCACACGAAGCTTGCAGTCTTTCCCAAGTTTCGATGGGGCTGCATGTCACAGCCTTCCAGTCACTGATGAGGTTCCACAGGCGAGACTTCTCCGTGAAGAGCTGCTTCGCCTTTGAGAACCCAACTCCGCCTACCCTCGGCAGAGACACGAGCGAACCCGGCCAAGCCTTCTCGACCTCCTGGAACTCAAACTGTACCGGCACGTAAAACAGAGCCTGGCTTGGAGCTGCGCCGCCCAGCTGCGACTTTCCGCTACGCTCTTGAAAGCTGCTCTCCTCTCACACGGCTCACCCACCTGATATTCGTTGTAGTTTGCAGCCTTTTCTTCGAGCTTGGTGACGGCGACCTCCAAAAGCATCACAGATGGATCTGCAGGATTCTGCAGGACGACAGCAGCAGCAGCAAGACGCAGGTTACCGAAGACACTTGCTTCAGTGATGCGCTGCTGGCCCCTCCTGGATTGTGGTCAGCTCCTCCAAGACGACTTCGGGGCTATGGATGTTGTCCTGCATATTCTGCAGAAAAGAGAGCGAGCGAGCGAGCGAGAGAGAGAGAGAGAGACTTTTTGACTTTGCGATCGCAGAACCGTTCCCTGGTCCCTTGCGCGGCGTAGGCGACACGCCGAATTCAAGATTGAATTCAGCGCGGCTAACAAGAGCTGTAAGTTACATCGCCATGTACATCCATCAGCTTGACGAGTAGCTGAAACAGAGGTCGAGACCTGACTACAAAGATTTGCAGTCCACAGTCGAAGACTAGCACTAACACTAATACTAATACCGGCATCACTGGCTGTACAGATCAGAGCTTAGTGAGACGAAAGCAGAGAATATAGCAATTCTCACTCAAGATCCGAGCATATGTTGGATGACACAACTCGGGTGCTTGACCATCTTCCGTACACCACCAGGTGTAGGCCAGGCTCCCCGAAGGGGCCGACGGTCTCCCCGAAGGGGCCGAAATCCCCGTGGCACCTGCAGATGCGACGCCTCCGTGACGGGAAGCAGCAAACACCTGGGGCGTGGCAGTGTGGGCATCACGTGGATGCGCAAGAAATGCACGATAGTGGCCTTGCTGGGGCGAGGGCCCCAGGTGCAAAATCCCCGCCACCAGCTCGTAGGTGGCCCATTGGATCTCATGTCCAGGACCTCGAAAGACGGGAAAGCTGACTTGCTGCATGGCCTTACAAGGGACATGCGTCTTATTTTTCCCTTTGGCGGGCAAGGCTGGTTAGCAGGTAAGGCGGTGCTTGGAGAAGGCCATGGGGAATCTTCTGTTCGTGCCAGCTGATAATGCATTCTTGGATGGTGGCACTGGAGGTTTTCTTAGGGAGAGGGGAGGTCAATGCTGAAAAGACCACGTATAAGGGGTCTGCGAGCTGCAACAGTACCTGGTACCGGTCTTGCCTCCCACTGACAGCGCATGTGTGCCGGGCAATGTGGGTCAAACAAGTGATGTATGAGCTCAAGGCAGTCCTGCTGGCGATGCATGTTCGTCCAGCCGCGGAGGAGAGAGTGCCACCCGGGAAGATCAGGGATGGTAAGCCGCTCTCCAGGTATAGGGACAGGATCACTCAACAAAGCTTGCAAAGACCGCTCAAGAGACTGGGTGTCATGTAATTGAGTACAGGGTCCAGCAAGGTGTTGAATGTAGGCTAGCAGGTATGCAGTGGCATTTATGTAGCAAAGATTGTCCGGGTTGTGCAGTGTAAGATGCAGCAGTGCAGCAGGAATGCACACAGACCTGAGTTCCCTGCCATCTACCATCCCACGGCCTCCTGGATCTGCCGGTTTGAGACGGAGAGAGAGGAGCAGGAGCGCTGAGTTGGCATACCATTTCCGGAAGATCGCCATCGCCTCCGCAGCCTCGGGCAGCTGCATGGACAGCTCCAACACAAACGTCGCTGTTTCTGATGTCGAGTCGGGCTTGGTGTTGCGGCCGCCACTGAACTTCAGGACCAGATCCGGATGTTTCAACAAGGTCTTGAGACGCCTGGCGTCCGCCAGAATCTGGTCTTGGGTGAGCGTCTCCGCCTGTCGGGGGACGAGTTTCTTCTCCTCGAAGTCCCAGTCCAAGAAATTGTATTCCATGTCCGACGTAATCCACCCCAGTTCTTGGGCTTTCACCTGGGACTCCTTGTCGGTCGCGAAGGCAGTGACCCTGGTGACGATCTCCGCTGCGATGTACTGAATGAGAGTCTGCTTGAGGGAGCGGGTCACTTTGTTCTGCTGGCGTTGCTCGCGCCAGGTTGCTGCGACCTCCTGAAGGAGCGGCACCATCAACTGTGGGCCGTTGCCCGTCCAAAACGTGAAGATGACGGTGTGATCGCTCTGAAGACGCGACAGGTAGTCCGCCTGAGGCGCGTTCCGCTGCCCCGGTTCGTCGGGGGGCCCTTCCCCCCTGGGTTCTGGAACTTGGCTGGGGTAGCCTCCAAGTCCATCTGCAGGGCGCGCTTCCCCAGAATGTCGCCAAAGACGCTCTTCTCCTCGTTGTCGAGGTCCACGGTCGTGCCCTCCGCAGCCATCGCGAGGGTGAGGAACTACCGGCGCGGGGGCAGTGGAAACGGAGCAACCCTGAGCAAGACAACAGATACGGGCCTGCCAAAGGACTGGGCATGTAGAGGCATGCTGGTCTGTTCGTGTAACCGTGGTGCCGCAAAAAACGCAGGGTGAAATGAGATGTCCCACTTTTCGGCAATCTGCTGCCGCGGACGCGCCGTGCGTCGTATATAGGTCCTGCTGCACTGAGCGATAGTGCAACTTGACGCTCTTCACCGATACGAGCCACTGCCCGCACGTGGTGCAAAACTGTCGTAGAAGTGCCTGAGCCTTCGGCTGTCGAGCAAACCGCAGCCAGTCCTCAGGTTTTTCGGGCAATAAACCATCAAGAGGTGAGCCTGTGGGAGCGGCCACAGGGTACGGCACCTCCGAGGTCGGGGCCGCTGCATTCTCAATCACCTCGGCAGAGGGTTGCACTACTGGCATTTCGGGGTGGACCGGTGGCTGGGGATGATCAGCTGAGACGGAGATTGAAATAGGAGAGGGGCTAGAGGGCTTACAAGCCGGGCTATCTTGGACAATCGAACCAGAAAGGGTAGTCGTCGAGAGCTCCACGCAAGAGGGGTCAGACTTCTGTCGTTGATTGGTACAGTGTCCTTGTGTGATATGTCTCCTAAAATTATACCAGGTGGTGAAGTCCTTGCGACAATGTACACAAACTGGCATCCCGTCGACGCTATGCTTGCGGACCTCCGCGGCATCCATCTGAAGAAGAGGATTAGGCAAGGGGGTCTCATGGAATTGACTATGGTGCCGTTTCAGAGTGGCCAGGTCCGGAAACCAGAGATCGCAGGTAGGACAGGAGAAGTGAGTAGTTCTGGGGCCGTGTTTACCAGCGACTTGAGCTCCGTACGGCACTCCCTGAAGGGGGCCGGGTAGTTGTGGAGGAGGTGTAACCTCGGCCTCTTCAGTTGGAAACTCTGTCGCTTGGGGCGACTCAGCAAAGGCGGAGGGCTCGGCTATTGCTTGGTCAAGGTGCGAGGTCAGTGCCAGCTTAGATTCAGTGACATGGACCAACCAGTTCATAATCCTAGGCCTGGCTACCATAGGATCGCTGGAATCTTGAGTCTTGGCAAGCAGTTTTTGACTGCGCTGCAGCAAGTAAAGCAGCGGGTCCTCAATGTGTAGACGCGCCAGCAACGCTTTACTGGACTCCTGAGTCATGTGCGCGAAACTGCGCGCAATGACCCGCAAGTGCATGACCAAGGTAACAGTAATACGCGTAACGTGTCTCTGTTGTAAGTCTACAAGGTGTAGGCCATACAAGGCGGAGCTCCGGACGCAGGCCAGCCAGAGCTGCACCCGCTTAGCCAAAGGAAGTGTACGGGAGTGAAGGACTTTGAGAAGCCGGGCTCGCTGCGCCTCGGCCACCTGCAGTCGGTGCTCAACCGTGGCAGTTGTGGCATCGGCGTAAGAAAGGACTATACCTAGGTACGTCAGCTGCGTAACAATGGGCAGTCGGAGCGCCTTGTGTCCTGGCTCCATGGGGTATGAGTAGGAAGCGGCACTCCGAAGTGGAGGCCGTGTGAGCGCGCCACTGTTTTATGCCTGCCGTCCTTTATGCGCCACGATAAGTTGTGTCTTCCGATGCTGGACTTGAAGGCCAAGCTGAGCTAAGATCCGGAAGCAGTGTGCAATGGTGCCCAGCATATGCTCCAGATCCTGGACGCCGTGGAAGATCCACTGCATCAAGAGATCGTCCGCGAACATCGTGGCATCCTCTTGCAGCCAGGCGACGGAAGTTACACCTGCCAGTGCCCGAAACAGTGCAACAGTGATGAGAGTCCACAAGCTTGGTGCTAGTGGACATCCCTGCCGCACACCCCTTTCACTTGCAACCCGGGTTGTGCAGTCCTGGCCTGCCGGCCAGTATCCAATGCAGTGGTGAAGATGGAGAATGACCTCCAGCTCCGGCTCCGGTACATGGGCCGCTCGTAGTTCGTGCTCGAGGACCTGCCGATTGACAGTGTCAAACGCTTTGCTCGTATCAATGGAGAGCGTAACTCCCCCTTGACAAGATGTAGGTTTTCGGCCTGTGTTGCGACGCTCCCGCAGTGTGAGACGCTGTGAAGCCAGGGTCTGTTGGACCTGAGAGCAGTGATGTAAGGCACGTATAACCGCATGGTCGATGCTTCTGCCAGCGGTGTAAGCGTACTGGGGCCACAGTTTAGTGGCGTCGGCAAAAACCGGGCGAAGGCGCATTGTTACGGCTTTGACAACAATGCGGCCCCCTCCCTCCGTTAGTGCTATGGGCCTCAGGTTCTCCGGTTGGTCCGGGGGTTTGCCTGGCTTAGGGAGCCAGGCCACCCAGGCATCAGCCCAGAGTTGGTAGAAGGTTCCCGGTTGCGCTCAGAGGTTCTCGCAAAGGGTCGCAAGGTGCGGTACCACCGCTGCTTTGCCAAGGTGCCATAACAGAAGTTGCGCAAGATGCTGTGGTGTGGCTTTCCTGGCGGGGAGTGTGTCCAACGCCAAAAAGAGCTCAGCTTCACTGAGGGGGTGACTTGTTAGCGCTTGCTGGGGGCGGCCATCCACAGGGCCGGGAGACATTGCTCGGGGGCAGGGTCGTCGCAAGGGGCAGAGGACTCCTTGAGGAAGGGTCCTGGCCCTGGGGTAGGTGGTAGACCTGTTCACAGTAGTGGGTGAAGCGTTTGGCTTCCTCCTGCTTGGACAGCAGTTCACCTTTGGTGCCGCGGAGTGGATACGGACTTTGGCCGTTTGCGGTGCCAGGCGCCTAATGACCTGCCAAATGGCTGATTTGTCACCCTGCCTGTCTGCCTGCCAAGCTTGCTGAAGTTGCTCATCGAGGACCGCTCGCTTGGCTTGGCGTCCGTGTCTGCGCAATTGGCGATGAAGGGGTAGGTAGGTGGCCTGGTGCTTCCAGGCAGTGAACAGATTGGTGAGACTAAGCCATAGTCGATTGCCTGTTTGACGCCAGTGTCGAATCTTTGCGGGGA